ACGACGGGCGACGGGCGACGGACGACGGACGAGGGACGACGACGACGACGACGACGACGACGACCGCCTCCGAAGACCGCCGCTGACGACGATGAAGAGCGATGAGCGAGGACACTCCGACGATGAAAGTCGACGACGGCGGACGGCCGACGACCGTCGACAACGACGAGCATCGACGATGACGGCCGTTAACGACGACGAGCGTCGGTGACGAGCGTCCACGACGACGGCGACTGACGACGACGTCGTAGGTGATGGTGCGGGGCGCCTCGAGCTTGCACATGCGGGGGGTGCTCGCCCGGGAAGCCTCCTCCTTCCGCCCCCGTTCCCTTTGTCCTCCTCCCCATACCCCCCCTCTTCTCCTCCCCGTCCTCTGCTCTCCCTCAGCCTTCTTCTCCTCCTCCTCCTCCTCCTCCTCCTCCTCCTCCCCCTCCTCTTCCACTCCCTCCATCTCTCCCTCCCCATCCTCCTTCTCCTCCGCCATCCCTCTCACTCTTGCTCCGCCTCCTCCGCGCACCTCGCGCGCCAGAGGACCTCGGGCATATCCCTGGAGGGAGGGAAGGGGGAAGCGGGTCGGCGCTTCGAGAAGAAATCCCTGGCGGAGTGCAGCTGCGCCACATCATATCAGGCCTCCAGGGGGGGCGGGGGGGGCGGTGCCCGGGCCCAGGCGCGGCGCGAAAACGCCTCAGGATGAGAGGTTGGTCCCACGGGGAGTGGCAGCCCAAGAGGCTGCCGCCAGTTCGGCAGCGAGGGGCGGACAAAAAGTCCCTCCTCCGCTAGTCGGCAGGGCTCTTGCCATCTTTTGTCTGCACCGCCGCGTGACTACAGGCGCACCGGCCCATGCCGCTATCTGCGCAGTTTTTTGTGTCTTATGCTGCTGGTGCCATTTGGTGGTTTCGTTGCTTACTCTTACGCTGCGAGCGAAGCCAGTTATGTAGTTGGTGACGCCGTTGACGATGACGATGTTGATGAACACCAGGCACACCGATTTCGTGCCGCGCGCCCGCCATTCGGGCCGAGCACCTTGTTGCCTGCCGCCCGTTGCGGGCGGCAGCCATCGCCAGCGGCGGCGCCGCTCACACCCCTCTTCGTTCCGCCCCTCGTTTTCCTGGATCTGCTTCCTAGGATGCAGACGAGTCGAGACGCCAGAGTCCAGACTCCTCTCCTCCTCCTCCTCCGATTCCATCCTCCTTTCCCCTCCTCGATCCTGGGTGCTCAATCCACCTCCCTGGCCCATGTTTTTCGGAATAGTGCTCTTCGCCGGGCCCGTCCCAGCCTGCCCTTCTGTCGGTCGGGCCTCCTCTCCTTCCTCCTCCTGACCCCTCCCTCCTCCCTCCTCCCCCCTCCTGCTCCCTCTGCTGCCCTTTGTCCCCCCCTCCCGCCCTCCTTCCCCGCCCGCTTCCCCTCCATTTCCCCCGTCCTCTTTGTCCTCTTTCTCCTCCTTCTCCCCCTCCCGCTCCCCCTCCTCCTCCTCCTCCTCCTCCTCCTCCCTTTCCTCCTCCTTCTCCTCCTCCTGCTCCTCCTGCTCCTCCCCCTCCCCCTCGTCCTCGTCCTCCTCCTCCTCCTCCTCCTCTTCCTCCTCCTCCTCCTTTTGTCCGTTACCCTCAAAGAAGGGCCAGAGGTTGGCAGCCCACGCTGCCGCTCGGATTACGCAGCCGAAGAAGCGAGGAGAGGGTCATTCGACGCCTTGCTGGGGTAGGACGGAACGTCGCCGCCGTCGTTGTCGTCGTCGTCGTTGTCGTCCGTCGTCGTTTCTCGTCGTCGTCGTCGTCGGTATCGTCGTCGTTGTTCGTCGTCTTCGTCGTCGTTGTGGTCGCGTGCGCTCCTCCTGTCTCCGCCTCTCCATCTGGGCCTTGCTTCCATTTGTCGTGCGCGCGCACGCCAGGCGGGCGAGGTGATGAACTCGGTCGTGAACCTGACCGCCGCCGACAAGATCCTGGAGGATATTGGTTGTTCGACCAAGACGGGGGAGGAGGAGTAGGAGGAGGAGTCGGATAACTAGGAGGAGAAGGAGAAGGAGGATGAGGATGATGAGGATGAATAATACAACTACGGAGAGTACTGCGACTACTAGTCTTATGAGCAGTACTCGTACGATAACATCCTGTTATGACGAATGCTAAGCAGACTGCTGACACGACAAGTTGCCTACTGTGATTCGTAGTATGGAGAAGAATGCGACAATGCACAACGATACTATGAATCTTATGAATACTAAGCAACAGTAGTACGAACACGAGTACTGATAATACTATTCCTACGCCTACTCATAGCAAGCAGAGTATGAACGCTAATACTACGACAACGAGTAGTACTAGACATAGAAGTAGAGTAGTAGTAGTAGTAGTAGTAGTAGTAGTAGTAGTAGTAGTAGTAGTAGTCGTCGTCGTAGTAACAGTAGTAGTAGTAGTAGTAGTAGTAGTAGTAGTAGTAGTAGTAGTAGTAGTAGTCGTAGTAGTAATAGTAGTAGTAGTAGTAGTAGTAGTAGTAGTAGTAGTAGTAGTAGTCGTAGTCGTAGTCGTAGTCGTAGTCGTTTTAGTAGTAGTAGTAGTAGTAGTAGTAGTAGTAGTAGTAGTCGTAGTAGTAGTCGTAGTAGTAGTAGTAGTAGTAGTAGTAGTAGTAGTAGTAGTAGTAGTAGTAGTAGTAGTAGTAGTAGTAGTAGTAGTAGTAGTAGTAGTAGTAGTAGTAGTAGTAGTAGTCGTAGTAGTAGTAGTAGTAGTAGTAGTAGTAGTAGTAGTAGTAGTAGTAGTAGTAGTAGTCGTAGTAGTAGTAGTAGTAGTAGTTGTAGTAGTAGTAGTAGTAGTAGTAGTAGTAGTAGTAGTAGTAGTAGTAGTAGTAGTAGTAGTAGTAGTAGTAGTAGTAGTAGTAGTAGTAGTAGTAGTAGTAGTAGTAGTAGTAGTAGTAGTAGTAGTAGCGTAGTAGTAAGTAGTAGTAGTAGTAGTTAGTAGTAGTAGTAGTAGTAGTAGTAGTAGTAGTAGTAGTAGTAGTAGTAGTAGTAGTAGTAGTAGTAGTAGTAGTAGTAGTATAGTAGTAGTCGTAGTAGTAGTAGTAGTAGTAGGTATGGTGGTGGTGGTGGTGGTGGTGGTGGTGAGTAGTAGTAGTAGTAGTAGTAGTAGTAGTAGTAGTAGTAGTAGTAGTAGTAGTAGTAGTAGTAGTAGTAGTAGTAGTAGTAGTAGTAGTAGTAGTAGTAGTAGTAGTAGTAGTAGTAGTAGTAGTAGTAGTAGTAGTAGTGTAGTAGTAGTAGTAGTAGTAGTAGTAGTAGTAGTAGTAGTAGTAGTAGTAGTAGTAGTAGTAGTAGTAGTAGTAGTAGTAGTAGTAGTAGTAGTAGTAGTAGTAGTAGTAGTAGTAGTAGTAGTAGTAGTAGTAGTAGTAGTAGTAGTAGTAGTAGTAGTAGTAGTAGTAGTAGTAGTAGTAGTAGTAGTAGTAGTAGTAGTAGTAGTAGTAGTAGTAGTAGTAGTAGTATTAGTAGGTAGTAGTAGTAGTAGTAGTAGTAGTAGTAGTAGTAGTAGTAGTAGTAGTAGTAGTAGTAGTAGTAGTAGTAGTAGTAGTCGTCGTAGTAGTAATAGTAAGTAGTAGTATAGTAGTAGTAGTAGTAGTAGTAGTAGTAGTAGTAGTAGTAGTAGTAGTAGTAGTAGTAGTAGTAGTCATTATAGTAGTATTTTTGAGAACCTGGCCAATGCTGACAAACATAATTGTACTATACAACATACTGCTAGCACCAATGTCAGTAATACGCACATCAGTACACTTGAGACTAGTAGTAGTAGTATTAGTGCGATTCCGGATGCTAGTAGTATAGCTGATACTAAAGGTCGTGTTGACAGTACGAATATTGCCACTGGTAAGAATAACAGTGGTACTACTAATCAGAATTGCAATGACCATAATAATGATAATACTAATAATCACACTACAAGTGCGACGAACATGAAACATATTACAAATACGACTGAGGATAACAATGCTAAGAGTACTCGTACGGATAATAATCATACGACTAATCATCATCAGACGGATACTAAGACTGCGAATAAGACGAATACTAATACGAGTGATGTTACCAACAGTAGTAACACGGACATGACGGATACAACAGATAGTACTAGGAAGTCGTAACCGTAACCGTACTCTTAATTCTAAGGCTGTGAATACTAATAATACGAACACTAATGCGAATAGTATGAATCATACTACACATACAACTAATAACTATAATGAGAAGATGCAGCAGGAAGAGGATCAGGAGGAGGAGGAGGAGGAGGGGGAGGAGGAGGAGGAGGAGGAGGAGGAGGAGGAGGAGGAGGAGGGACCAGAGGGCGGCACGGCTGGGCGGCGCTGCGCCACCTCGGGGAGCTGGCGCGCGACCTCGCAGGGCACGAGGACGAGGAGCGCGCCGCGGCGGTGGGTTAGCGTCTCGGTGCAGCGCTGGGGCGCTCAGCTGAGCGTGGCGCTTCCTGCCGCCACCGCCCGCCAGCTACGCAGCGCACTCGGCCTGCAGGCGGCAGGCTCAGGCGGCGTGCGCGCCGGCCTGCAGGGAGGAGAGAGGGGGGAGGAGGAGGAGGAGGAGGGGGAGGAGCGGTAGGATAGGGAGGGGAAGGAGAGGAGGAGGAGGAGGAGGAGGAGGAGGAGGAGGAGGAGGAGGAAGGAGGAGGAGGAGGGAGGAGGAGGAGCAGGAGCAGGAGGAGGAGCAGGAGGAGGAGCAGGAGGAGGAGCAGGAGGAGGAGCAGGAGGAGCAGAGAGGAGGAGGAGGAGGAGGAGGAGGAGGAGGAGGAGGAGGAGGAGGAGGAGGAGGAAGAGGCGCGGCGTGAGCGGGCGCAGGCGGCGTGCGCCGCCCTGGCCTCAGCGCAAGCCGGCCAGCTGGGCAGGAGCGCCGTTCGCCTGCGGCTACCAGTTCCTGGCGGTCGCGGGGGCGAGCGGGCGCACAGACTGTGCTCGCCTTCGCAGGTGGAGGAGGAGGAGGAGGGGGAGGATGAGGAGGAGGAGGAGGAGGAGGAGGAGGAGGGGAGGAGGGGAGGAGGAGGGGGAGGATGAGGAGGAGGAGGAGGAGGCGGAGGCGGAGGAGGAGGAGGAGGAGGAGGAGGAGGGGGAGAAGGGGGAAAAGGAGGAGGAGGAGGAGAAGGAGGAGGAGGAGGAGGAGGGGGAGGAGGAGGAGGAGGAGGAGTAGGATCAGGACGCGGAGGAGGAAGAGGAGGAGGAGGAACAGGCACAGGTGGAAAAACGGGATCACGAAGCAAGCGCGGGGGAAAAGGAGGGGAGGGGAGGGGAGTGGAGGGGTGAGGATGGGAGGGGAGGGATGATGATGATGCTGATGATGATGATGATGATGATGATGATGATGATGATGATGCTTCTGCTGCTGCTTGCTGATGATGATGATGATGCTGATGAGGATGATGATGATGATGATGAGGATGATGATGATGATGATGATGATGATGATGATGATGATGATGATAATGATGATGGCGATCATGACGATGATGCTGATGCGAATGGTGAGGACAATGACGATGCTGCTGCCGCTGCTGCTGCTGATGATAGCGATGACGATGATGGCGATGGCGATGATGATGATGCTGATTCTGCTGATGATGATGACGATGATGATGATGATGATGATGATGATGATGGTGATGATGATGATGCTGATGATGATGATGATAATGATGATGGTGCTGACGATGTCGACGATGATGATGATGATGGTGATGATGATTGGGATGATGGTCATGATGCGGACAATTCTTATGTTGATGATGGTGAGGACAATGACGGTGATGATACTGATTACCATGCGGACGATGTTGATGATGATGATGCTGTTGCTGGTGAGGATGATTCTGATGCTCATGGTGATGCCAGAACTGTTGCCGATGATGCTGATGACGCTGCTGCTGATGGTGATGACGATGAGGCAAGGGATGCTGATGATGATGGCGATGAGGATGATGATGATGATGATGATGATGATGATGCTGATGCTGATGCTGATGCTGATGCTGATGATGATGATGCTGATGCTGATGATGATGATGATGAGGCTGCTGCTGATGATGAGGAGGAGGATGAGGAGGAGGAGGAGGAAGAGGACGAGGAGCAGGCGGAGGACGAAGAGGAGAATGAGGAGCAGGAGGCGACTGTGGAGGCCGAGTAGGATGATGGTGATGCTGATGGTCATGACGATGATGGTGATTGTGATGATGCTGATGATGATGCTGCTGATGATAAGCATGCTGCTAATGATGCTACTGTTGCTGATGATGATGCTCATGATGATGCTGATGCTGATGCTGATGCTGATGATGATGATGATGATGATGATGATGATGATGCTGATGACGATGATGATGCTGATGATGAGAACGACGGAGATGACAGTGCGGGGGTCGACGAGCAGGAGTCGCAAGTGGATGATGGGTATGATGAGGAACGTGGGGGAGGATAGCGGGAGGAGAGGAGGTGACGAGGATACGAACATAAGGCGGAGGAGGATGAGGAGGATGAGAAGGACGAGGACGAGGAACAACTGCAGGAACAGGAGCAGGAACCTGATGCGGAGGTTGGTGATGAGCAAATGTGGGATGGTGTTGATGATGACAATGACCCTGTCGACGATGTCGATGACGCTGATGGTGATCATGATATGATGATGCTGCTGCTGATGGTGATGATGAGGATGATGTGCTGATTATGATGTGGGGATGCTGGTAATGATGCTGACTATGATGACGATGGTCATGCTGCTGTTACTGCTGCTACTGCTGCTGATGATGTTGCTGATGCTGCTGATACTGATGGCGACGATGGCGACGATGATGATGCTGATCCTGGTGATGATCACTTTGACGATGATGATGACGAAGATATGGATGATGACGACGACGATAGTGATGTTGATTTTTTTCATGATGATGCTGTTGCTTATGATGGTGATTCTATTGATGATGAGGCGACTGATGATGACGATGGTGCCGATTATTATGATAGCAGTGGTGCCGATGTTGATGGTGATGCTCATGTTGTTAATGATGGTGATGGTGGTGACGGTGATGGTGATGGTGACGATCATGGTGGGTATGAAGGTTCGGATGATGGCGATGATGCTTATCGATGAAACTGACGCTGCTGCTGCTGTTGATTCTGATTCTGGCGATGGTGATGAGGTCGTTTGCGTTGAGTCGGGTATTGCTGAAGGTGCTGGTATTGATGAGAAGGTGGTGGCTATGATGGAGGAGGACGAGGATCGTGAGAGGGGCAGGATGAGGAGGGGATGGAGATGAGGATGACATGTGATTCTCGCGCATGTTTGAAGGACGCCCACGGCGAGTTACCGCCGCCCCCCCCCGCCTTTCTGGAAACGCCTGTGTGGCCAAAGGTTGGGCCAACGGTTGGAAATGATTCTGTGGTCCCCCTGCGGTTGTGGATACCCTTCGGGGAGAAATCAGGGGAAGAAAGTCGAGAGATGAGAAGAAGCGCGTTCCGTGGACGCCGGGAAAAGGGGGGGGGGGGTCGAACCGAGGGTGGTGGGGCCCCGAAATGCAGGCGGGGGGGTCGAACCAGCCCCCCCCCTCACATGGGGAGGGGGGGTTCGAACCGGGCCCCCCCGTCCTGAATTGAAGGGGGGGCTTGGAACCCGGGGGGGGGGGGGGGCGCCCCCCGTCCCTCCCTGGTAGCAGCCGACGACGGCGAGCGAAGGCGCCAGCGCTGGCCGTAGGGCAACGATGACGACGACAGCAACGACGACGATCGAGCCTTAGTAGTAGGATACTATCAATAGTAATATTAATATTCAATAGTAATACTCTCAAGAGTAATACTATCAATAGGATACTATCAATAGTACTACTATCAATACGACTAGCGACGAGGACGCTGGATCGGACACTAGTAATATTCCATTCAAGCTGGATTGAACCCTAATGGGATTTAGTGAGAGCTGTTAGTAGGATTCCGTCAGCGATGGTTCGAGCTTTGGTAGGTTCAAATAGAGCTGGACTCAGCTATAGTAGGATTCTATTCAAGCTGGATCGAGCCCGAGCAGGGTGCTCCTGGGTTGGATCCAGCTTAGAGCTGGACCAGGCCCTAGTAGCGTTCAATCAGTCTTGGATCCAGCCACCGTGCCATTCTATTAGAATTGGATCGAGCTCGACTAGGACGCTACTGAAACTGGACCCAACTATAGTAGCATTCGTGTAGAGCTTGATCGAGCACGAACAGGACTCTATTCAGGGAGGGGGTGGGCCCCCCCACTCAGAGACGCCAGTGTCCGTGGGAGGGCCCCCCGCGTTTTTCGGCCGCTTCAAATGTTTCAGGGGGGGGACGGTTCCGACGTCGACGTGTCCAGGGAATTTGTTCCAAGTAAGCGTTTATGAAACGCGTTCTCCCAGAGATGAGGAAGAGAGGGAGGGGAAGGTGGTGGGAGGAAAATAAGGAGTAATAAGGAATATTTGGAGGCGTTTTGGGGGCCTCTTGGGGCCCTCTTGGGGCCTCCTGGGTGCTTCATGGGGACCTCCTGGGGGCATCTTCGTGGTCCCTTGGGGCCTTTGGGGGTCTTTGGGGGCTTGTGGTGGCTTTGAACAGGCCTTTAAGGTCTAAAAGGCCTCTTAGCCTTCGGAGGCCGTCTAGGCGGGGCCTCGCTGGTTTTGAGACCGTCTTTTGAGTGTCTTGGGTCGTCTTGGAGCTATCTTAAAGGCCCCATGTCTTGAACCCCGCAGAGTGCACTGGATAGCTTGCGCCATTTTGATTGCTCCCATTTATCGCACGACGTATGTCGCACTACGTATATTTTGCCCCACATCGATCGGACTACATATTTTGCATCATACAGACTGCACCACACAGCGTGCACATCGAGGGTGCGATGACACACTCTGCGGGGTTCCCGCTCGCAAGCATTCCTTTTTCCTGCTCCCATGCCCTATTCCCTTCTTTCTCTTCACCAGTTGCGCTGTCGCGCGAATCCGCCACTGCGCTCAGGCGGGCTCGTGGGGAGCAGTGGCGGGGCGCCAGGGGGGGCACGGAAGTCCTGAAGTCATGTTGGCACGTTTTCTGTTTGGAAGGCATCAAGCACGAGGATCTGGTCACCACAGTGAACGAGATGTTCGGCTTGATGCGTCGGGGAGCCTTTGCCATCCGCAGAGCGCCTAGTGGCTTGCAAGGGCCCGATACACACACCAGCCGTCGCAGGCGAGGTGGCGGATTTTGTTTTCTGTCGTTGACGTTTCTGGTCTGCCAGCTTTTCTGTTCGAGACTCTGCGCTTTGCTTTGTTTCTCTGCCATCCGCTGCTTGCTTCCCCCCCTCTTGCTCCTCCTGCCCCTGCCCCTTCCGCGACCCCTCCGACGCCCGGCGAGGACCAGACGGTCGCGTTCGCGAGGGAGCGGATCGCGATCGAGCGGAAGGCCAAGTGCGCGGACAAGCCGTCCCAGGCGAGCGACGGGGGGGCTGAGGGCATGCCGGGGGGCGGTGAAGCGGGGGGGGGTCGGGGGAGAGCAGGGGAGGTTTGGTCTTGCGGCGCGCACAAGGGGGTGGCGCGCGAGGGTGGATGCTTTCCAAGAAGGCGGGGCGCTTCTCGGGACCTGGGGGCCTTGCAGAAGGGCCTGAATGGTTTGAAGCTGGGAGGGCTTCCAAGAGGCCCCCCTGCCTTCTTCGACGCTTCCCCAGCGAATGCCTCCCCCTTGGGCGACAGGGTACCACAACATGGAAGCTGGAAAACGTGACTGGGGCCAGCCTGTCAACTCTTTCCAGTAATGGCCAGTTCCCCTCCAGCTTTTCCAGCGCTGGCGACCTCGTCTCTGCTGTCTTTGGCTCGCTTCAGCCCCCCCTGGTCTTTCCAGCCCTGGCCCCTTCTACTTCTTGGGATCTCCAACTTCGTCTTTCCAGCTTCCCTGCAAGCAGACCCAAAAAGGAAGTGCTTCACAGGGTAATGAGGTTGGGCATTTCCCCTCTCGTGGAGAAGCCCAAGGCCAAATCCAGATCGCCTCCTCATCCTCCTCCTCCACCCAGATTTCCAATTTTGCCTTTCCTGCCTCTTGCTTCCATTCCCGCTGCCCCATCCTCCCAGACCATCAGGCTACCCCACTGATCCTGAGTCACGCACCTCCTCCCAGTTACTGGCAACTGTCCAGTCCGAAACGGCCCTCAGTGGCAGTCTGTCTTCATGTCCATACAGTCGTTTGAGGGAGTTTATGTGGAACTCACGTCATCCTGACCCCCGGCGCACGAGACAATGGCCCCGCCGACCGCCCCCCTGTTCCGTTTCCAGCGAGATCCGGAAATCCAGCGAATCCGGCGAATCCTTCCAAACTGGCGCACTCAAGTGGGACGTCCTCAGAACACTGCCCCCCGGCGGTTTCAGGCGAGATGTGGTAAATCCAGCGAGTCTGGCGACGAATTCCAAACCGGCGCCTTCGCGTGGGACATCCTCAGAAGAGCCGGCCCCGGAGGCCCTCACAAGCCCCCTTGTTCCGTTTCTGGTGAGATCAAGGAACTCTGGCGAATCCGGCGAATCCGGCGACGAATTCCAAATTGGCACCCTCGCTAGGAGGCCCTCACAGGCCCTGTTCTGTTTCTAGCGAGATCCGGGAATTCTGGCGAATCTGGCGACGAATTCCAAACCGGCGCCTTCGCAGGAAAACCGGCTCCCGGAGCCTCCCTAAGGAGGCCCTCAGAGGCCCCTCCGTTCCGTTTCCGGCGAGATCTGGGAAATCTGGCGAATTTGGCGAATCCGGCGATGAATTCCAAACCAGTGTCCACGTGTGGGACATCCTCAGAAAAACCAGTCCCGGGAGCCTCCCCAAGAAGGCCCTCAGAGTCCCCCTGTTCCATTTCAGGTGAGATCTGGGAAATCGGGCGAATTTGGGGACGAATTCATCGCGTGGGACATCCTCTGAAAAACTGGCCCCCGGAGCCTCCCCAACGAGGCCCTCAGAGGCCGTCCTGTTCCGTTTCAAGCGACATCCGGGAAATCCGGCGACGAATTCCATACAAAGCGCCCTCGCGTGGGACATCCTCAGAAAAACCGGCCCCCAGAGACCCCCAAAGAGGCCCTCAGAGTCCGTTCCGTTTCAGGCGGGGTCCAGGGAATCTGGCGAATCCGACGAAAAATTCCAAACCGGCGCCCTCGCGTGGGACGTCCTCGAAAAAACCGCCGCCCAGAGCCTCCCCCAGGAGGCCCTCAGAGGCCGCTCTGTCGCGTTTCAGGCGAGCATGGCAGCGGATGGCGCCTCGCCCGCCCGATCCTCACCCTCCTGATTTCCATTCTCGCTATCCTCGATCTCCTGCCCCTCCTTCTCCACATCCTCACCCTCCTGCTCTACGCTCGTCTGATCCTGACCCGCGTGACCCTCACTCTCCTGATTCTCCCCCTCGCGAGTCTCGCCCTCCTGATCCTCGCGCGCATTCTCATCTCGATCATTTTCCCCTCGCCGAGAAGCGCACGCCCCTTCTTCAAAATACAGAAACTCCCGATTAACCGCAGCGTGGTCCGCTGGTAGAGGGCCAGGCACCCCCAAAGGCTGTGTAATCCGACAGCCTCCGCCTTGTCGGTCCGGTCAGGGCTCCCCTCCTCCTCGCGAGGGGAGGGGCGGAGAACTGTGCGGGGGAAAGGTTCGGAGGGAGGCGAGGGGACGTCGGGAAGTGGGGGGTGCGGAGGGATGGGGCGGGATTTGGATCGGAAGGAGGGAGGAGGGTTGGGGATGGAGGGAGGGGGGAGGGCGAAAAAGGATTGTCGGGCGGTGGTGGGAGGGGGCGGGATGAGCGTGGGGGAGAAGGGAGGAGAGGGACATGGAAGGGAGAGGGGCGTGGATCCCAGGGGATGGGCGCAGGGGGGCATGGGCAGGGGGGGACGACGCGATGGGCGTGAAGGGGGGGTGTGCGGTGAGAGGGAGGAGGGGGGGGGAGGAGGGAGGAGGGAGGAGGGAGGAAGGAGGAGGGAGGAGGGAGGGAGGGAGGGAAGAAGGGAGGGAGGAGGAGGAAGAGGAGGAGTAGGAAGAGGAGGAAGAGGAGGAGGAGGAGGAGGAGGAAGAGGAGGAGGAGGAGGAGGAAGAGGAGGATGAGGAGGAGGATGAGGAGGAGGAGGAGGAGGAGGACGAGGAGGAGTAGGAAGAGAGGGGGAAAAGGAGGGAGGAGGAGGAGGAGGGAGGTGGAGGAGGAGGAGGAGGCGGCGGCGTTTGGCCCTCAGGAAGTTTCGTTTCTCTGGCGTCTGTGTTCGTCGTGAACAGGGCTGTCCATCGTCATTCTTCATCGCCTCCTCGCCTTTCCCTTCGCGGGCTTGGCCCCTGGTCGTCATGCCCCCGTCCTCCTTCACCCCTTTTTCCTGATAGATGTGACTCCGTCTCGTCTTGCCACCAGACGTGTGGGTAGGGCGCGCCGGGCGATTCGCACAAGACCTCCCCATTGCGGCTCCAACGTCGACACGGATGCAGGGGGATGGTTTTCACAAGGTGGTTCTCGCTTTCGCCGCGTACATGTGTTTTCGAAGCGTCCACTGGTGACATGGATGGACAGGGGGCTGATCTCAAAATGCGGCTCACGCTTTAGCGCCGCGCACATTTGTCGTAAACGCTTTCATCACTCACACGGATGGGGTTTATTTGTTTGTTTGTGTTCACACCGTTGCTATCGCCCTAGTTCCGTGCGCATTCGTCTTGCAAGTTCACAGCAGTTGCGAAGTTGCGAAGGACATGTGGCTTTCAAACTTTTGATTTCGCTCTGGCGCCGCGCACATTCGTCTGAAACGTTCCAGCAACGGTTTTCAAATTGTTGCTCTCGTCTCAGCGTCGTGCGTATTCATCTTACACTTTCGCTGCGGTTGCAGGGATGGAGGGCGGTTCTTTGTCAAAATAAGGCTCATGTCTTCGCGTCGCACACAATCGTTTCAACTGGTACACAAGTTTTGGAATGAGGGACGGACCTTCTGAAACTTGGGCTATCGCTTTGTACTTCACTGAATATGGCAGACCAGCCAACGAACACCTGACGGCTGCAGGGATGGATGGTGGTCCTTTGTCAACTTGCGGGACTATCTCTTGAGATTTCCTTCGTGGGAATACGTGTAGCCTTGTGCACACCTATGGGAGCAGCCATTTTCCAATGGGGATCTCGTTGGGCACCTCGCCGAGCTGCATGGCCATACATCTTTCCGCAGCGCTGTTCGCTCGCTAGAAGGATGCAGGGCAGTTCCTGCCGAAAACGCGGCTCTCGCCTGGACGGCAGGCGCGAAAGGGGCAGTTTGTTCTAGGGGAGTGGTTTTGTTGAGAGGGGGAAGCGTCTAGGGACGTATAAGAAGGGGGCTTGGGACGGAAGGGTGTGTCGCAACATCGTGGGAGGTATCTAGGGTTTACGCTGGTCCTCCCTCTTCTTCTCCTTCTCCTCCTCCTCCTCCTCCTCCTCATCCTCGTCCTTCCCGTCCTCTTCCTCCTCCTTGTCCTCCTTGTCCTCCTCCTCCTCTTCCTTGTCCTCCTCCTCACCCTCCTCCTCCTCCTCCTCCTCCTCCTCCTCCTCCTCCTCCTACTCCTCCTCGAGGGCCGCCCTCCCCCATGGAGCGGGAAGGAGCGGCGGGAGGGAGGGGAACGGGAGGGGATGGACTTTGGAGGGATGCACACCAGCCGATGCTCCTCCCGAGGTGGCCTTCACCGTGAAGAGCGCCACGGTCCAGCTGTCCGAGGTCATCATAGTGAGGACCTCGACGGCGCCGTCCTTCTCCCCTCCAACCCCTCCCTCCCGCCCTCCTTCCCCCCCACTTCCCTCCTTCCGCACCCCTCCTCCGTGCCTCCACCCTTCCCCTCCCCTTCTCTCTCGCTTCCCTCCCTCTTCCCTCCGATTCCCTCTCCCCTTTCTCTCGCCGCGAGTGTGAAAAGGCCCTCTGCACCTCACCTGCTCGCGGCTGAGTTTCGCGTTGCGCTGCCATCTCTTTGGCCCCGGGGGACGGCTTGGCCCCCACCGACCAGGCCGATCGTCAGACGCTGGAAGAGGATGAATATGATGATGAATAATCCACATACTAAGACGAAGACTAATAACACGAATCATACGAATGATTATATTAATAATACGAGACATAACATTGCTATTAGGAAAAGACAACTAATACGATTGACACTACTAATCGTGAAACTACCAAAAATAAAGCTACTACCCAGTACCAATGAACTAATTTTCAGACATTGTAAGAACACTACTGCGCATCAAGAAGACGACTGATGAAACATGAGAGGATAATGAGGAGGAGGAGGAGGAGGACGAGGACGAGGAGGTGGAGGAGGAGGAGGAGAAGGAGGAGGAGGAGGGGGACGAGGAGAAGGAGGCGGAGGAGGAGGAGGAAGAGGAAGAGGAAGAGGAAGAGGAGGAGGCCGGGGAGGAGGCGGAGGAAGAGGAGGAGGAGCAGGAGGAGGAGGAGGAGGAGGAGGAGGAGTAGGAGGAGGAGGTGGAGGAGGTGGAGGAGGTGGAGGAGGAGGAGGAGACGGAGGAGTAGGAGGGGAGGGAGATTGGCATTGGACGCCCATGAGGGGAGCTCGGGGAACGAACTCGGTGCATGGACGCTCCAGCAGCGTTCCGCAGTTTGGGAGGTCGGGGCGCCTACAAACCGAGCTGGCTGGCCGACCGTAGACGACTTGGCGCGAATGTCGAGCCCCTCCCGAGGCCTCGGCTACATACAGGTAGGAGTGACCTTTCGCCGGAGTGACCGTTAGTGCGGGCACACTGGGGCCCCCAGATGACTGAACGCGACGTGATGGCAGAGTCTTGAGCGCTCGGGTTTCTGCCCAGAGGGTGTTTTTCAAACCCTCTGGGCCATAACGCGCATTGTGCCCCCCCCTCCCTCCCTCCCTCCTTCCCTCCCTCCTCCTCCCCCGCAGCGTAACGTAACGCTCGCCCCCTCCCCCAGTGCGTCCCCAGCACTGCCGCCGTGCGTCCGGCACGACGGTCCGTGGTGCCGGAGTGAAACCGGCGGGGCGGGGGCGCTGCGATGTGCCCCCCCCTTCCGCCCTCCCCCCGGAACGCCCGTTGCCGCCAGGCACAAGTGGCCCGCGTGCCCCGGCCCTTGCGCACGAGAGGGAGGGCGAGGGCCTGGAGAGGCGGGGTGAGGAGCGGGGGGGGGTTCTTGGCTCCACCCTGGTGGCCTTCTCGGGCCATCAGGACCATCAGGGGGAGGCAGGGGCAGAGGGGGGGGCCCGGGGGAGGCACGACGACGAACACCACGGGCTCGGAGCTCCCAGAGCAGAGCTGCGCAAGAGGGTCATTGATGCTCTTCTAGGGCTACTCTGGCGCGTAGCCGATGGCACCGAGCGGCTCTGTCCTCGCCTCCGCTCCGCTCCTCCCCCCGTGTGCCCACCGTGCCCTGGGTTGCTTCGGCGCGCGCCGCCTCAGCTCGACGGGCGCCTGACCGCTCCCGCACCATTGCGCCCGCTGACTTCGAGCAGATTTCGGACGGGGCTAGGACGAGGACCAATCTGCTGCAGAGCGTTCGGGAGCGCTCTCAGAGCGCCCCGGAGCTCTCACAGAAGGCCGCGGCGCCCGAGACACCCTGCGAAGCCGCCAGATCTGAGAGGTTCTCGACCCATCCTCACCCGATCTCATCCTCGTCCTGGCTTCGTCTGAACAGTGTAGCCGAGGGCCGCGTGCCCATGTGAGCGACGCAAAAGACAAGCGGGGTCGTCTGCGCCGACATTGGCGCGTAAGCTGCTCGCGTAAGGTCGCGCATGAGCGCCCTCGCTTCAGCGTAGCGTACCGCGCTGGCGGCCCGCGTAAGCCGACGCGTAAGCTCGCTACGTCTTCTCGCGTCAGACCCGTTTTTGGACCGTCGCCCACTTGGGGCTGCCCGCTCACAGTGCGTGGCTGCGGTGGGCAGGCGCGGGCGGGCGCGCTGCGCCGCGGCGGCGCGCGCGCCTCCGGCCGATGCCGCCAGCGAGTCTCTGCGGTGAGCCCGCGCGTTGTGCCGAGTCGGCGGCCGTCCCGGCGCGGGCGCTTTTTTACCTAACAGCGAAGACTGATAGGTTTCTAGTGGGGTCAAAAGAGAGCATCATGACTCCTCAGGGGGGTCGGGGCGGGACCCGGGGCGGGACCCGGCGCGGCTGCCGCCGCACTCGTTTTTCACAAACAGTCACACATTTCGTGCTCTTCGACCTCCCAGAACTCCATTCCCGGGCCACATTCTGAATGCCCGGAGCCACCTGTAGGCCACTTCGTGCTCTTCGACTTCCCAGAACTCCATTCCCGGGCCACATTTTGGATGCCCGGAGCCAACTGTAGGCCACTTCGTGCTCTTCGACTTTCCAGAACTCCATTCCCGGGCCACATTTTGGATGCCCAGAGCCAACTGTAGGCCACTTCGTGCTCTTCAAGTTCCCAGAACTCCGTTCCTGGGCCACATTTTGAATGCCCGGAGCCAACTGTAGGCCACTTCGTGTTCTTCTAGTTCCCAGAACTCCGTTCCTGGGCCACATTTTGAATGCTGAGGCAGGCTGATGCTGCGGCCGAGGCAGGCTGAGGCTGAGGCAGGCTGAGGCTGAGGCCGAGGCTGAAGGCAGACTGAGGCTGAGGCTGAAGCAGGCTGAGGCTGAGGCTGAGGCAGGCTGAGGCTGAGGCTGAGGCTGAGGCTGATGCTGAGGCAGGCTGAGGCTGAGGCTGAGGCTGATGCAGGCTGAGGCTGAGGCAGGCTGAGGCTGAGGCCGAGGCTGAAGGCAGACTGAGGCTGAGGCTGAAGCAGGCTGAGGCTGAGGCTGAGGCAGGCTGAGGCTGAGGCAGGCTGAGGCTGAGGCTGAGGCAGGCTGAGGTTGAGGCTGTGACTGCGACTGCCGTTGCCGCTGCGACTGTCATCGCGAATGCGACTACGACTGCGAGAACAGCAGAATTCTACAACTGGATTTTCATCTGAATCTTAAGGGGAATGCTTTCAGATATGCTTCTACACATCGCTGTTAGGTTGCTTTGCCGGGATATTTGTTTTTTTGTTTTGTTTGGTATTTTCCGTTTATACATATATATATATACATACATTGTTTTTTATCTCTCCTCTTTTCGGAGGAGGAAAATGCAGTCAGCGCGCCTACTAGTAAGGGCGCGCGCCTTCATCTAGGGTACCCTTGTGCCCTTGCCTCTGCGGTCCGTCCTTTGCCGTCTTCGCTGGTCGCCCGCCGCCCAAAAAATCCCAACTTCGGCCTCCAAGGGTCTTGCGTCCTTACCACCAGTCCTTGATACACGTTTTGATTGTACCCATATCGCTGCCCTCCCCTCGTTTTTCCCTTCTTGGGCCTCCTGGGAGGCCCTCGTCGCCACCGCTGGATTCGCCTCGAAATCCTGGTCAGGACGCGCCCCGGGAGAGTTCCGGGGAGTAGTGGTATCGGTACCTTTTGGTTTCCCCATTTCCTATGGCTGCCCTCAGATCCTGGCGTCTCGATTTTCTCGAGCCGGGCGTTTTCGCCAAGCTTCGGGTCTTGGAACCCTCTCAGACCGATCCCGCTCGAGGAATGGGCACAGAAAGATGGGGTCTAGGGCTCCAGTCGTGAGACCTTGTGCGATGTTATATCTTTTTCGCGCCATGGGATCTCAGGGTGGGCTGGGCGCCTAGGATGGCGGCCATGGCGTGTGTGGCCAGGCAGTTCTCGCGCGCGGGCGCCGAGCTGAGCGTGGCCTCGGTCAAGTTTCCAGCGGTGCCGCCTGGCATCTGGTGGCCGCCGGGTCTCGTGCCCAAGGCCCCTGAGGGTGAACTCCGCCGGAGGCCTGGAACAGGCCGGCGTGGGCCAACTTGCGCCGTCGGAGCGGCGGGGTGGTTCAGGGCTGAGCGATCCACGCGGTGCCAGAGGCCAGCGCGCTGCTTGGGGGCGCTCCCCACAAGCCCAGAAAACGCTGCCTGGGGTGATGGGCCACTTTTCCACCACCACTACCATACGTAGGGCGGGGGGGAAGGGAGGATGGGGAGGTCCTTCTCCTCCTCCTCCTCCTCCTCCTCCTTCTCCTCCTCCCTCTTCTACCTATGGTAGTGGTGGTGGTGGGAAGTCGGCCTATCATGGGGGTCGCCTGGCTGCCCAGGGGCTGCCTGCAGAAGCCCAGCTCGGCGCTGCCCAGGCGCTGCCACCAGGGAGCGCCGCCCAGGCGCGGCGCTGCCTGGGCGCCGCCCACTAGCCCAGGTCGTCACGGCACGAAGCCTTCGTGCGCAGTGCACGACTGCTCCGGCAGCGCCTGGGCGGCTCCCTCCTCCCTCCTCCCTCCTCCCTCCTCCCTCCTCCCTCCCTCCTCCCTTCTTCCTCCTCCCTCCTCCCTCCTCTCTCCTCCTGATTGACATTGGGCTGCAGCTTTTAGCCAAAGGGGATCCTCCCGCCGTTGGGAGCTCGCCCATTGGTTTCTAGGCCGCTTCCTGTGGTCAGTCCTTTTTCTCTTTCAGATCCCCCTGGCCAGTTCATACCTGGTTCCATCGGGGGACAGTCTGCACCAATGAGTGCCCTCTGTGGGAATCGCCAACCCACAGTTGTATCGGGCTGCATCGTGGATGTCACAAACAAATCCTCCAATCCTCCTCCTCCTCCTCCTCCTTCTCCTCCTCCTCGTAGAGTGCGCCCTCAGATGCTCCCAGAGTTCGGCCTCAGATGATCAGATGCTCCCAGAGTGCGAGTGCACGGTGCACTCGCACTCTCTGACTCCGCGTGTCCACGCCTGGGCTCCCTGCGGCCGCGCGCCGCTGCGAGCGCTCTCGGGGAGCATCCGAGGCCGGGCCGGGATCGGGCAGCCGCCCGCGGCTTTCCTGACAGGCCAGCGGCGGGGGGGTTCGTCAGATGCACCAGCCCCGCCTCTGCGTCCAAGCCTAAATCGGGCATGTCCCTCTACAGGAGGAATATTGAAACATACTAAAACTTTCCCAGTGCGACCCTACCTAGGAGTTCGAGCCCCTAGGAAAGCAGCATTAGTAGTAACAGTAAAGCTAAGCTAAAGCTAAGCTAAAGCTAAGCTAAAGCTAAGCTAAAGCTAAGCTGAAGCTAAGCTAAAGCTAAGCTAAAGCTAAGCATAAGCTAAAATACAGCTAAACTGAAGCTAAGCTAAAGCTAAGCTAACGCTAAGCTGAAGCTAAACTAAAGCTAAGCTAAACCTAAGGCAAAGCTAAGCTAACGCTGAGTTAAAGCTGAGCCACATCTAAGGTCAAGCTAAGGTAAAACTAAACTAAATCTAAGCTACAACTAAGCTAAAGCTAAGCTACAGCTAAGCTAAAGCTAAGCTAAAGCTACGCTAAAGCTAAGCTAATGCTAAGCTAACGCTAAGCTAAAGCTAAAGCTAAAGCTAAAGCTAAAGCTAAAGCTAAAGCTAAAGCTAAAGCTCCCAGGGGACTGGGGGAACCGCGGGGCGGATCCTGGGGGAGCTGCCCAGGGCGATCTCCACTGCCTGGCCCCTTTAAGCAAAGAGGGTAAGAACCCTTCTAGGCAGAGCCTAGGTAGGGAACAATGGTCTGGGGACGATTTTTTTTTACTATTTTTGAATATGTTGGCAGTTTTTGTCGATATTTGTTATTTCTTGCGAAATCCGCCTGTAGGAGGACATGCCCGACCGAAGTCCAAGCCGAAAGCGCCAGGGCGCCGCGTCTTCAGCTCGAGCCAGGCGGCTGCACATTCTTGCTCTCCTCTTCCGCCTCCTCCTCCTCCTCCTCCTCCTCCTCCTCTTCCTCCGCCTCCTCATGCTACTCCGCCTGCTCCTGACCTTGTGTCTCCTGCGCCCCCCCTCCCTCCCCAGGGCGCATTCCGATCTTCGACCGATCCACCTCGACTTCGAGTCTGCTGGGCCCGATCCGAGCGGATTTCGGTCCTGCAGCGCAGCGATGCGGCCCGATGCTCGCGTGGCGCAGCTGTGCACCGCGGCGCGGCCGCTGCGATCGGCTTTGGACTCTGGGCCGATGCGGCCCGATCCGACGCTCGCTCCAGATCGGTCCGACTTCCGATTCGCTGCCGACCGCTTCTGCCCCGCCCCGCGCTCTACGGCAGGTTCGTGTCGTCGTCGCCGTCGCCGTCGTCGCCGTCGTCGTCGTCGTCGTCGTCGTCGTCGTCGTCGTCGTCGTCGTTGTCTGTCGTCGTCGTCGTCCTCGTCGTCGTCCTCGTCGGCTAGCGCCTCCCCCCTCGAGGATGAAGGTGGAGATCGGCGGGGACGAGCACACCTTCAAGGTCGAGTGGCTGTCCAGCAGCAAGGTCTGTGGCGCATTGACAGGGTGTCGGCTCAAGGGGGGGAAGCATCGACTCCCATGCATTAGTAGTTGAGGTAGTTCGGATTCTTAGGGTCAGTGTGGCTGTGAGGAGTGTGTGGCGGCATCCTTGTTTCGCACGCACACGCAGAGAGTCTAATCGACACGATAGCTTTGCACCGGAAAACATGTTTTTATTAATCGGCGTCACACCAGCATACGAATACTATGCGTTCGTCTCCGCCCCAGGGGCGACGCGCGCACCGAGAAATCTTCCAGTAATTCTGTGCGTGGTGGCGGGCGCTTTCTGGCGCCACACCGCGCGGGGAACGATATACTACAAGACTGGTACACTATACGTCTGGGCCGGACGCGCGGCCTCCAAGGAGAGCATACAGCACTGGTATGTCCTGGTGCGTCCCAAATCAGGTGCCTGGCTGAGCGACGGGCCCGGTCTCCATGCGACGTCCCCAGACCCCCGACGCCACGAGTTTTCCATGACGTCGACCCCAGAGGTCTGGAACCTTCCCCGGGGGCCGGTGTTTCGTCCTGGGTCGTTCTCTGAGGGCCCCGAAGCCCGGCGAGGGCACCTGGAGGCCAAAACCTGGGAGAAATCTCCGCCTCGACTTTTCCGGGTCGGCGCGCTCCGGCGCCTTGCTTCGGGGGGGGGCTCCCTTCGGCGGCTGCCCAGGGAAGCGTCCTGGCGCGGGTGCCTTCGGGCCCTTGGAGGGGAGCGCGCCCTGGCAGGCGACGCCTCCCCGGGCGCCGCCGGGCAGCGCCGTGGCGGGTGCCTGCCCCGATCCGTGGGGCCGGCGCCCACGCGCCGGATCCCCAGACATCGGGCGTCTCGAACTACGCGACCGAGGACCCCTACATACTGATATTATATTATGGCTGGAGTGATGGTAGCTGAAGTGAAGCATGTGAGAATGATGTTGGTGGCCATTCCCTGCGCACCCCCTATGGTGTCGAGGAAGTGCCACGCCTGTTGCGCCCTGGACGACCGGCTCGGATAGCGGCCGCGCTCAGAGACCACCACTTGCGGACCCCCTAAGGTTATGAGAATATGCCACGCCTGCTCCGCCAGCCTTCCCCTGTGCCTTGAGCGAATCCAAGAAATCCGCGCGGAGCGCCAAAAGTTTCTGTTAACGTGGCTTTTTCTTCTTCTAGAGTAGGGGATCGACTGCATAATCGATCCACCCCCAAACGGGTGTTTTCGTCGAGTCTGCAACGAAGGCCCGGGCTGCTCGTAGCTCCACGGAGCACTCTGCGCACTTCTCGGGGATCCGACGAGCAAAGCACAATTCTGGGGTGAATCAATTTCTCACCACCCACCAAACCACCCCAACCCAACCCGAAGGCTCAGATTTACCCTCGATTTCCAGTGGGGGGGGTTCGGGAAACTTTGAAAAAACACATGTGGAACCCTGACCCCCTCCAACCCGAAATCGGGGTCTTCGGGTTGGGTTGGGGTGGTCTGGTAGGTGGTCAATTTCGGAGGCCTGGAGGTTGACACCAACACCGACATCGGCGGTGTGCTTCCACCGGGGGATTGCGATCCCGACCTCGGTGACGGTGGTGGTATTCGGGCTTCCGGGGTGGCCGCAAGCTCTCCGCCAGCACCAGCATCTGGGATCACCCCTCCCCCGGTGGAGGCCCCCCCCGTGCTGGTCGGGGCGCCAGAGACGGGGGGCTCCGCAAGCGGGGGTACGGGGAACCCTGATTTCCACGTGCGGCCATGCCCCCGGTTAGGGACCAGAATCTGGGATCACCCTTCCCCCGGTGGAGACCCCCCCCGTGCTGGTCGGGGCGCCAGAGACGGGGGGCTCCGCAAGCGGGGGTACGGGGAACCCCGATGTCCACGTGCGGCCATGCCCCCGTTTAGGGGGGCCCTTGGGCGCCGCAGACGGGGGCACAGTAAACGGGGGTACATGGACAAGACGAATCCCCTGTTCATTTTTTTTTTTTTTGCCGAGATGCTTGCCTTTCGAGCCTGCGTGGCATGAGCTGGTCTGTGTCTCTTTCCCCTCTGAGTCGAGGGCGGTTTGTCAGGGGGCAGCTGCTTTTGGCAGAATCAGGGATCAGCTCGTGCCGTTGCGCGTGAATGACCGAAGAAACAAAAAGTCTTAGCCCCTGAAGGGGGACACGCCCGACTTAAGCCTAAGCCCCCGTTCAGCTAAAGGAGGAGGAGGAGGAGGAGGAGGAGGAGGAGGAGGAGGAGGAGGAGGAGGAGGGAGGAGGCGGGAGGAGGAGGAGGAGGAGGAGGAGGGAGGAGGAGGAGGCGGAGGAGGAGGAGGAGGAGGAGGAGGAGGAGGAGGAGCAGGAGGAGGAGCCCCGAGTTGGTGTCGGTGCCCCGTTCCAAGCCTCCGGCAATGCTGCAGTCGGACCCCCGCGCGAGGTCCAGGTCGGAGCGTGCGCCGGCGTCGGGGCCCCCCGGGGCCCCCGCCCGCCCAGAGGAGAGAGGGGCGCTCCGCAGCCGAGGAGGGGCCCGCCGCCCGCATCTGTAAGGTCGGGCCGGTCCCTCTCCAGGAGGGACAGTCAAACACAGCAACAATAAAGCAGTTTGGGGACGATTAGTCGGTTCTTTTTAAAATATGATTTTGGGGCATTCTTTGAGTGTTCTTATTTCAGGAGCGACAGAAGGACGCACACGTGCATGAATCCGTGTTGGTTTCGAGAGTATGCATTGCGCGAATGTTCGTACCACGCGGACGGTTTTGCGGATCGAGGGACCGTGTTCATGTACATGGTTGGGCGCGTACGTCCTTCGTGGGTTCCCTATTATTTCTCGTCCACAATCCGCCTGTAGGAGGACATGCCCGACCTAACCCTATCTGCCTGCGACGTATGTGGCCGGCTCCGGGTACCACCGCTCCCAGTCAGTCGACGATGCGTGATTTTTCGATCTGGGGCTCCAAATCAGCCACGCGCAGAGGGGGGGGAGGGAAGGCTTCTCAGAAGAACCCTTGCTTCTTAGAGGGCGCGGGTCCTGTCTATAGATGTAGGGCCGGCGCCTTCGAAGACGGCACTCGGAGGCCGGGCCGAGAGGAGGGAAAACTCGCGGGGTTGAACTTATCACGCCGCCTTTTTTGCACGCAGCCATGCAGCTCTCGCGCCGAAGACCGCCAGAGACCGCTGACCGCCGAGGGCCGTCATCACAGGATGGCCGCATACCTCCAGAAGACCGGGCCGCAGACCGCCATACGCACGCCGAAGACGGCCCAGGGCCCGTGGGCAACCACAAGGGGCCCGTGGTCGCGGTCGAATGCGTAGCCTTAAGTCGGGCATGTCCTACAGGAGGAAGAATATTTGAGAGTAGTCAAGCATAGTCTGGGTTTTTTTCCTTTATTAAAGTGTGAATATGTATTTTCAAGAGTGTGCTAAACAGATATTTCAGCAAATGGAGGGCATGCCCGACCTCAACGTAGCCCCCCTGAGCCAGCCCCCCCCCCCCCTCGCCAGGGCGCCTCGCCGCAGGACAGGGACGCGCTGTCTAGGTCCAAGCAGCCCTGGGACACCACGCCCGCGGCGGGCTCCCTGGACGCAGGCCGCGCTTTCGCGAGAGGGTAGGGGGAGGAGGAGGAGGGGGAGGAGAATCAGGAGGAGGAGGAGGAGGAGGCGGAGGAGGAACGAGGACGTGTCCAAGGGAGGAGGAGGAGGAGGAGGAGGAGGAGGAGGAGGAGGAGGAGGAGGAGGAGGAGGAGGAGGAGGAGGAAGAGGGCAGGGGGCGGAGAGGGGGGGACCTTCGGAGGAGATCCGGTCGAGTCGAGGAGCTGCCGGCACGCATGGCGGCGCGTGGATCTCGGAGAAAACAAACGCCATAAACATAAACTTCAGTTGGGCCTGTCCCTCTACAGAGGGAATATTCAAAAATAGCAGAAAAATAGTCGGGGGATTTTTTGGGGGTATTTTTTTAACAATGTTTGAGTTTTTGTTCGAGTTTTTCATTCTTCGCTCAAAATTCCCCTGTAGGGGGACACGCCCGACTTGAACATAATCTTTCTGCGCTCCGCGCGGATTTCTTGGATCTGTGCTGGGCCCCCCAGCGGCGCCTCCGGCGCCGACTCTGGCGCGCGGAGCGCGTGCGGATCCATGAAGTCCGCGCGGAGCGCCAACAGATTATTGTTTATGGCGTTTTCTTCTTCTTCTTCTTCTTCGTCTTATGGATGGCAGCGCGCGGATCAGCGACGGGCCCCGTTTCCGTACAGGTCGGCGCGCCTTGAGTCGCCAAGGCGGGCGGCATTGGCGCCATGTCTGATCCGCGGATCTGGCGTCCACGCGCCAGACCCGCGGGCCCGTAATCCATGCCAGCGTTCGGCCGACAGTCGAGACAACGGCGGCCCTCGACGGAGGAATTTTATTGCTGAATGATCCTATTGGGGGGGGAATTCTAGTCGCCACGGCTGTGGGACCGCCTCGAAGCACGTGCAGGGTGGACCCTGGCTGGGGTCCGCCAGGGGGGGGGGAGGGGACGGGAAGCACAACAGTCTGCACAGGCAAGCATGCCAGGAAGCTGGGCACGCAACGACGACTCTGCCAGCCTGGGCGAGAGCTGGAACAACACGTGACCGCATTTAATTTCCGCCGCTCGGCTCTCGTGTGGCTTCTGCAGGTGCATCCAGCACGTGGCCCCCGCATGTTCCGCACGTGAATCCGGCCGTGCGTGTTTCCAGCTTCCCGGTGCACCTTTGGAGGTCATCCCGGACTTCTTGGACCCGCGCCAGACCCCCCCCCTCTTTGCGCGCCAGGGCGGGGGGGGGCATCCACCGCCTCGTCCTCCCCCTGATTCAGCCACTCCCTTCCCTTCTCCTCCCCTGCGGCTGGCACCTCCTCCCCCCCCTCCTCCT